AGAATCCACTTCCAGCCATATATGAGTCCATCCAATCTTTATTGCAAGGTTTAAAGCCTAATAAACAACAATAATCTTAGTCTCAATAGCATCAACAACCAACACAAGAGTATAGAAGTAAAGTAGACATTGGCCTAGGCGATTTCTGAATATTCCACCCACACATGTCCCCAACTCAGATGAACTTCCATCTGTGTTAATCTTTATAGTGTGACCCTTAGGTGGTTTCCATATCACTTTATAGGTTTATTGAGTTTTTTTTTCAGATGAGTAGGAGTTGAAGATATTTGGAAACTTTTTATACTTGATCACCTTGTGTAGGTAGGATACAATGTTTCTAACCACCTTTTCAGTAGTGGATATAGTGTCTTCAAATTTTGCTTTGTTTCTATTCATCCAAATAAACTGTGCCACTATGAAAGGTATTGGAGCATAATTTAGCTTATGCCAGTTCTGCAAGCAAGAATTAGTCTTATCCCAACTGAGATTAATGAATTCAATGTTTAGATGTTTCTTAAGCTGGTTCCAAACCTTATGCGCAAACCTGCATTCAAAGAAAAGATGTGTTAGAGATTCCTCCTCCTGTAGACACAACCCACATTTAGAGGGCCCTCTCAGTCCTTTTAGCTTGAGTATATCATTTGTGGGGATAAAATTTGGAGTGTCCTCTAGCTGAAGAATGACATAGATGGAGATAGAAACTTATTCCAAAAAATCTCTCCCCAAGATACTTGCTCCCAACCATATAATTTGGAGTAAATAGCTTTGGTGAGGTTATGATTAGTGTATGCTTTCCAAATAGGTTTAGCTGCCTTGGTCCTGTCAAATTTTATGGTGGCAATTTTTCTAACTGAATGAACTTGTAGGATTGTGGAGAGTTTTTGAAGTGACCAATTATTGCCTTCCCAACATTCAACAACCTAGAGACTAGGAGTAAGGGAAGTGAGGGGAGTTAACCAGTCTTTGGGGCACCATTGGTCTAGTCAAAAATTGATATTCCCATTTCCCAGATCCCATAAGAAAAGGTCTTCAGCAATTTGTCTAATCTTTAGCATTTTCACCCAAATTTTGGAATCACCAATTTTTCTGATTACAAGAGTAGGATGTTGTTCTTTATAGTATTTGACCCACATAAATTTAGCCCATAAAGAAGATTGAGTTCTAAACTTAATCCATATTTTACACAAATTGACTTGAAGAAGTTGATTCAGGCCCTTGAAAATAATGCCATCAGCCAACTGAGGTTTAGCCACCTTTTGTCAGGAAGCCCAATGCATTTGTTGTCTTTGCCCTGACCATAAAAATCTGTTGAAGGCTCTCTCCATCTGAATTTGGGTGCTTTTCTTCATAGCAGTCATCTGCAGGATGTAGGAGGGAAAGGTAGTCGGGATGCTATTCAGCAATGTTATTCTCCCACCATTGGAGAGGAAGGATTGAGTCCAGCCAGAAAGGAAGGAGGAAATCTTATAAAGGACTTCCTCAAATTGAATTTGTTTAGTTCTTCTAGTAAGAAGAGTAACTACAAGGTATTTGATAGGAAGTTGGGTGCTAGAAAACCAATGTAATTAATGGCCCATTGTTTACAGTTGGGGGAGGATTTCTTATTAAAGGTCAGATGACACTTATCAGCATTAAAATACATCCCTGATTGTAGTTGAAATTTTTTGAGGCTTTGGAATACTTTCTTCACAGCATTCTTGTGGCACTTGAGAAAACCATTATATCATTAACATACAAAAGGTGAGATGTAGCTATATTAGATCTGTGATAATATCTGGAATAGCTTTGGGGAAGAAGGGATGCATCCAAAATTCTAGACAAGTAGCCTATAGCAAGAATGAAAATGGTGGGGATAAAGAGTCCCCTTGCTTTAAACCTCTAATAGCAGTAAAGGACCTTCAAGCTTGCTCATTGATGAGAATGGAGTGTGCATTATTGAGTAACCATCTATGAATGAGCTGACAGAAATTAGGTTGGAAACCTCTACCTGAGAGTATCTCCATTATAAAATCCCAACTGATTGTGTCATATTCCTTCTTTATATCCACATTATAAATGAGGTTTCCCCTTCTACAAGGCTTATTAAAATCCTGAAGAAGTTCCTGGGCCAATAATGTATTATCAATGATGGACCTTCCCTTTACAAAGGCAGTCTGGTTAGGTTTAATCAAAAAATCAACGTGGGGCTGTAGTCTACTCACAATAAATTTGCTTATAACTTTGCTGAGGATAGCAGTAAGACAAATTGGTCTGTAATGATCCCATATTTTCTGAAATTTAGTTTTTGGTACAAGGACAAAAGTGGAATCCCTGAAATAATGTGGGAGGTTGTTACCTTGAAAAAAACTGACCACAGCAGCAATCACATCAGCTCTGATTATATCCAAAGATTTTTTGTAGAAGTCAACTGTAAAGCCATCAGGGCCAGCTATCTTTGTGATATCAATGGAGTTAATAGCCTCCCAAATTTCCTTTTCAGTAGGGGGGTCAGTGTGACTAAGATTTGTGGTATAACTCAGCTCATCAGAAAAGTAGTGAGTCTCTATTGGAAGCCTTGTATAACGGACTTGGTTCAACAACTTTTTAAAGTAGTTTGTAGCATCTGTAGCAATGGTAGTATTATCATGGAGCCAAGTTCCTTCGACATTTTGAATGGAGTGAATTGTATTGCACTTCTTTTTGTACTTGATGTAAGCATGATAAAAGTTGGTATTTTTGTCCTCCTAAGTAAAGATATTCATGGATGCCTTTTGTTTCAAGAATTGATCCTGATATTCAATAGTACTGAGAAGGTTATTTTGATTATTGAGAAGCACCTCTTCCTCCACAAATCCCTATTGAGCTTTCTGTTCAAGTCTAATAACCTCTTTTTCAACATCAGTCACATTTATGAGAACATTACCAAAGCCTTACCAGTTTTAATTTACAGTAAGCTAAGTTTAACCAAGGGGTCAGGGTGGGAGATATCTTTCCATAGGTCAGAAATGGTTTTAGAGAATAATGGATGGGAGGACCACATGTTGAGGTATCTAAATGGAGGGGGGTAGAAGGCAATTTAGAGGAAGTAATGCTTATGAGGATTGCTCTATTATCAGAACCAACAAGGCTTAGATATGTGACAAATGTGAGCAAGAATTAGGAGAGCCAACAATCATTAACAAGAAATATGTCAAGTCTTTCCCACATAGAACCCCTTTTCCAGATGAAGGCAGGACCCTTGTAGCTCTGGTCAAAAAGACCAGCATTAATGATATTATCACTGAAGGTAGACATTTTAGTTAAATTGGGGGCTCTACCACCTGATTTTTCTGCTGAAGATGTAATACAATTGAAATCCCCCCTACTAACCAGGGAGAGGTCATTTGCTGAGGTCATTTGCTAACTGATCTTTTGGAGACAGTGCCACAGTTCCTTTCTATCTTCCTTAGTACAACCTGCATAGATGAAGAAGACAAAACCCCTATGGCCATTGATATAAAAAGAGAGGTGAACAAACTATTGGTGATTCACCAAGATGTTCCATCTGATTTCTTTTCTGCAGAAGAGCCAGATCTTGTTGTTGATACTAGGAAAGGGAGTAAAACCATTGAATTTATTAATCAATTTTTAGGGTGTTTGTGCACCATGGGTTCAAGAATGACAATACACCAAAGTTTATGTTTACAGTTAAGACGTAAAACTCTTTTAAGAGAAAGGGAGTGAGATATACCCCTAATGTTTCAGCACAAAATATTAATCATTGATTGATGGGAGGTGAAGAGATGGCTGAGACCTTGATCTAGTTCTTCCTCCATGATAGTTAAGGGGGAACCATTCTCCGACCTTTCCTTCTGTCTACATGGAGTTTGTTCCTTGTTGGAGTTTTTGTACTTCTGTTGCCTTTTTTTATGTTGCCTTTTTTTTTTCTTTTTCTTTGCTATCTGAATTTTTCAATCTTCTTCAAGTGTCTGTTGTAACTCAGCAGTAGTGTTTTCCACAGTTGCTTTTCCGTTATCTATTTTGTGTTGGAATTCATGCACCTCTTCTCCATTACCCCCAAGTGTAGGAGGTGGAGGAGTAATTATAATGATTT